TAATGCCAGTATTTTCAATTAATTACTAATAGCACAAGACTTCTGCCTTGTATACAAAGTATGCAGTTTTGTTTGTTTGTTTTCTTTTAATAAAGGCTGACCAAAGCAAAGAAATTCCCAGAAACAGCTGTAAAAGGTAGCTTGTTCAATAATGTTTACAAATCAGGGTTACGAAAACCTTGCAAACGATCTCACATCTTACTATTTGCACTTGCACTTTCTTTTCAAGCATCTGAGACTGAGTACTGCTGGATACAAAATTCTGGTGTAAACAGATCATGATTTTAATACATCATCGTAATTCCTACCCTCAGCCCTCGGGAACAGTTCACAGAGAGCTCATACAAGCTTTGAAATGCTCCTGTATTACTGCAAGTGTAAGGTACTTCATGGTAATTAACAAAAACATCTTCTCAGTGTTTAAGAGTTCAGTGTATGCAAACTGTATTTTCATGGGCTTCTGCTACTAGCCTGGTTGAGATACAGTAGAAATTAATCACAGTGAGTGGGCACAAAGTTATACCTTCAACCAAATAATTATACTTTCTGCATTTACTCTGGGACTGCTGGCATTTTGAATGATTAACTAGGACTGGGAGGGCTGGGGCAAGGACGTAGTGTGTGCAGCCTTTGCAGAAAGTCTGGCTGACAGAGAACATGTCTAAATCAGCAAGAAAACTCTACTATTCTTCCAAAAGAGAGAATCACTAAATGCCACCTAATCATCAACAGGCTGCTGTGCATATCTTCACTCCTTTTGGGCAGGGCAATTCCCAACAATTCCCAAGCTTTACTGCCAGTGCTGCCCATTTTGACTCTGTAGCTGATTATTTCAGTAGAGCACAAGAAAGCAGACAAGGGTCTCTGTGTTCATAAAGGATTAGCTTGAATATTCTGTGTTGCTATACACTTTATTTGATTAGCACTGACCAAAGACACCTACTGTAGTAATTCCCAAAGAGCAGCTCACTGTTTTTTGTAAACATTTACTACAGTGCAGTGAAATATAATCATTTGCAAAAAAGCATGACTGCAGCCAATTGGAATTATTTACTTACCGGTGGGAAATCAAAGTCTATCTGGTTAGCTAAATTTAAGATGTAGTCAATTCGAAACTGGTTCTCTGGATTCGCTAGTTCAACTGGAGGTGCCAAATTTCCCATTGCTGTCACTATTGTCTGCAAAGAAATAAAAATAAAATATTGCAGAGTGTCTAAATAGCTAGCTTTGTATAATTAAAAACAATAGCTTATAAATTTACCTCTATAGCTTCTTTAATATTGTTTTTAATATCCTGAATTTTCATTTTCTTCTCCCTGTAATAAAAAAAATATTAAATTTATTAAGCCATAAAAGTAGAATACCTTTTTGAAACAGAACATGAACTTGAAAAGTATTCTATCAAAATTGTATTGTCACTATTGACTAAAGTGCTCTCAGTCACTGAATACTTTTGCAGATAGACTTGATTAAATATCTCAGAACTTTTCTACTTGAACGATAAACATCTACGTGTATTCAAAAATCATATCTAATTATGCTTAAATAGAAACTTAATGCAGTCCTAGACTGAGACTAAGACATTCTGCAAAATCAAACATTTTGATTCACTTGAACACAAAATACTAGACATATGTGCAAGTTATTTAGAAAAGCATAAACAAATAGAGGAAAAAAAAAATAAGTAAATTATTGAAAGTAGGAACAAATGAAAGGAGACCAGACAACCTCAAAGTGCAAAAAAAAAATTAAAGCACAAAACTGACATCACAGCAGAAAAAGCTAGAGCAGAGAACTCAACCTGATAGAAACATTCAAACTAACAGTTTGGACATAAAATCTAAAATGAATAAAAAAGGACTAATCCAGATATGTAAACTCTAAGCAGAGTAGGAGGCTAAAAAACCACTTGAAATGCTCTATATGAGCACTACCATTTGGGATTAACTGCAGCCAAATTAAAAAGCCGACAGCCTCAAGCAAGCCTCCAATATACTTGTAGTGTATCTTATGTCAAACCTGACAATGACTATTTTCAATGCTAACGAGTACAATCGAATGAAATGCATGACCAAACATTTGGTATAATCAGGAATCAGCATCCTAAACGTTTACTAGCAGTGAGTCTGTAAGACTATAACTTAACTGTGATGCAATATGACAAGATTTTTACGTTATTAATTTCTTGCTATACACAGCATAAAACTACTACTTTGAGGTAATCCAAATTAGCCATGTAATAACTAAAAAAAGCTCACCTAAATTGTCTCAGTGACCTTTTAGTCTTCATCAAACTGGTTTTTACAGAATGCTTTCATTACCTGAATATTTATACCAACTATTTTTAACATTTTTCATTTTGGAAACTAACATTTTCCAGAGACTTTAAACTACCAACAGCATGTTTTCGTTTTTTATCCTTTAAAAGGTAGTGCTCACACTTTAAGCTTAGAGATCACATCTTGAAAATCTCATTTTACTGAGTTAATTAAGCACATATTGCAAAAGCTTTTTATCAGTTTTTCCCTTCTATAATTATTCACAACCAACAACCAAAATGAAACTGAAAGCATATTCACCAATCAAGAATGCAGAAGAACAGCAGAGGAGAAAAAAAAAGTACTGCTTAAATAACAAGGCAGATGCACACGTCCAAGAGTGGTGGGAATTTCGGTTATCAAATGAAAGATTAATGTGACTTTTGTAAAAGACAGGGTCAAGGAAAACACCATTGTGCCAGCTACATGTTACACTGACTTTTAGACACAGATGTGGAGAATCTTACTACACATTTTACAGATGTGAAAGCATGATTGCAATGCAAGTGCTGCTCTTACAGATGGAAAGCAAACAGCAGCATCACATCACCTCGTTCAGGATGACTTAGCTGGGTAGAGAACAAGTCTGAATCAGCAGCAGAACTCTACCAAACAGAAACACAATTATCCCTAAACACCAGTTCCTCATCGCTGACCACTGCATATATTCTCCTAACTATGGGGCAGGGTGAGGAAGGTCAGTGAAACTTGATGCAGAAAGACAATGATATGATCAATAACCAGATGTAAATTCTTGGTTTCCCTAGACTTCTTGACCTACCTACAGACCACCTTATTCCTGAAGACTACCAGTTTTCACTTTAGGGATTTGGCACCACTGATGGGAAGGCGGCAGTGAGCCAAGAAAGGCCAAAAGCACTGAACTAAGGAAAATAAATAAGACAGGAAAAGAGAGGAAAAATGGAGGCCTTTTCACCCTCTTCCTTCCCATCTTCAATGCTTTCTACTGCCCTAGGTCTTAAGAAACTCTCCATTCCACAAACCAAGACTTACAGTAGGTGTACAAATACTGTATTTTTCAGTTAGTGCACATACGGTTGCAAAAACATCAGCTGCTTTTTTTTTTTTAATCATGTTCATTTATTAAAAAAAAAAATCCATAAATAATGACATGAAAGCAAGAAATGTTTATCAACGGCAGTGTAAGCAATTTGGCTTGATTTTGCCTCCAATTTTCAGCTGGGTCTTGAACTTCATGTACATGTATCCAGATTCCACCCCATTGAGATGAAAAGGACAACTGATATGCTGCAAGTTAAGCAAGACACTAGTATTTTTAAAGGATTAAGTAAAGAAATAATATTAGGTCATTTTTCTTTGCTTTGGAACATCATTAGAAAGACACAAGTTTAGAAAGTCTTCTGAGGGGTGTGTGTGTGGGTGTTTTTATTTTGTTTCTTTTTTAAATTATTTTTTAAGTAAACTATAGTTATAATCTCTCCCCTGGAACACTTGCACATAACTTTAGTCTCAAAGCACCAGCTAAGCGCACGTTTACCTGACTCTTCCATACCACACAATAAACCACATTATTTTTATTACAAGTTTCAGTCAAACTTTCATGCTTACACCACTTCACTGATCCTCACGCTACTAGCGGCCCTGCAAAGTGATAATGAATATGGAGTGATGTAAAACTCCAGCAGTTAACAAAGTGCTTGATAACTATCATCATCTTTACAACAAGAATACTCATAGTTCCTATTTCTGGGTTTGTTGCCATGGCCCTATAGCATGCCCCGTAAACAAGGAATCTTATTACACAGCAATGAATGTATCATATCATTTTGTGTTTTGTAATGTTTACTAAGCATAAATTTTCCATGACAATGAGATACTCTTCATTCTTCTGGAACTCAAAGTGTTCATCAATCACCCATCCAACAGCTTACATGCAACCGTAACCTCCCTTCAAAAAAAAGAAAGGTGAAACTCATTTTATTCATGGACTAATGAAGCGCAGCAAACAAAAGCTAAGCCCCGCCTCTGCACTGCCAGAATTGTTTTTGAGAAATCCCAGCCAGGTTGCACCTCAGATTTCCAAAATTAATTGAACTTTATTTTCCCCAGTCACGAAGACTCTAAGATTCATCTTAGACAGAGAATCTCTTTTTTTTCTTTTTTATTCCCAGGTGCTGGCATGATGGCCAAAATTACAAAAGAAAAAAAGCTGGGCTTCCAAAATGTTTTCCTCTGGAACAGACCGAGTAGATTGGGAATGACACCTATTCTGGCTAACAACCGACTGATGTCTCCGCAGGCCTGCTCTGTATCTTTAGATGCCATGGGTTAATAAGGTCACATTTTTAATCTTGTTTAAAACTTCTGCTTAGGCTGTGCAGGGTAGGTCAAACAAAGCATTAAACTCTATTAGTTGAGGATTATAAGAAAAATCTCAAATCCTGCTGTTTTCAATATTTAAATGGGCCAAAGCAAAGCTGCACATAGCTTTCAGGAAAACTAATAAAGTCTATTTTAGGTACTATAAAAAAAGATGACATTTTAATTCAAATAACATGAAATTAGAATGACATAAAAGGTCATGAAATATTCCTTGAAAACAAACCCAATCAGTATTTAGTAAATAACTTCTCCACCTGTGGCTGAGCTTTACTAGTAAAATGGCAACATTTTTACTCACACTTTATTGAATCTTATGCAATGAACATGTTACCAAGTAGCTTATCAGAAAGCAAAACGAATTTAATTTTCATGTTCATTTCTAGTTTACTTTCCAGATAATACAAATAACCATTACTTAGAACTTGGAAAAAATATTTGAAGTTTAAAAAGAACATTCCAGAGGACTAAGGATTCAGCTCACCCAGAATAAACATCTCACAGGTAGAAAAGTTGGTTTTGCTTTGTGAGGCTTTTTTTTGTTTGCTGTTTGGTGTGTTTGTTTCTGTTTGTCTGGTTGGTTGGGGGTTTTTTGGTTTCGTTTTTTTAAATTGATGCTGAAATGGTCAAAACAAACCACCTTAAAAGACTTTTTTTTAAAAAAAAGTAGTAATAAATCCTGTGACTCCTTTATGCCATTAATCTAAATTCTTGAAAGCAAAAGAAGTGTGAACTTCTTGGTCACTACTGACACGTTAAGAAGCTGTATGCCTTGTTACGTTCTGTTCAACAGGCAGATTTTGGACAAGATTGCAGGGAAAACTACAAAGAACTACAGAGTTTTAAATCAGAATGTAGTATATTACTTTTTTTTTCTAGCGAAAAATAAATAGATTTTATGAACAGAAACAAAGTGATACGTTTCTTTAAACCCACGATAAGATAGCTAGAAAATATCTGAAACACACAAAGTGCAAAGCAACAACAATAAAATTTATTTTTTTCCTTTAAAAGGAAAGGTAGCCATGATAATACAGCACTAACATTTTAACATATCTATTATTTAAGTTACTGGGGAAACCCTCCCCACATCTCCCCCAAATCCCCTGATTATACAGGAAACTCCACACTTCAGAGGTAGGGATATTTTAGGCATCAAACATTAGACGTGTCATGAAGAACACTGTGAAGAGGTGAATTAAATGCTGTGGTGTACACCATTTGAGTGACGGTAAAAAGACTCTGATCAGATAACATGCAATAGAAAAAGGCTTTTAATGAGGGTAAATTATGATTGCCAATTAATTCCACTATGAACACGGCCTAAAATAGGAACATATCCTGGAACGTGAATACTTACAACGTGAATAAAAAAAAAATATTGGAACATTCTTTGCAAAGTGCAGATATAAATGCTAGCTTTCATTTCTGAAAAATGTCATTTTCTTTCTCAATTTGTATTTTAATACTATTTCCTACGTGCAGCCTTAGCATAATAAATAATGCCACATAATGGTTTGCAATTTAATAGTGTGTATACATTAATTCCCCACAAGTGAGCCTGTCTAGAACGCTGAAGGGTATGTAACGGCATGGGCACAGCACACCTTTTTAAAATGACTGGCTTTGTATT